ACCCGAAAAGTATTAATCTAAGATTCTGGTCTTTTCATTGGGAGAAAACATGAAACAGCTGCTATAGAAATTTCACTTAACCTACCCTGAGTATCTCTTTTTATTATATAGATACTGATGAAATACCAGGATTTCTCCTTTTACTAAAAAATCATATCTTCACCGCGCGCAGTGAAGATACTATTTTTATCTTTCACGTGTGAGGATATTGGTATGGCCATGGTTACCAACATAATTACCCAATTGCTGTTTCGAAAATGAATAAAAAAGTTGTCTTTTATGAGGAAATTTCATCGGTATCTATTTAATAAACAGAACATTACATGGCCGCTTGGGGATACGAATTTTATCTTCTCGTGCTTCACCCTTTTGTTTAGGGTGCCCTAAAAGGAACGAACTGGCGAGTGCGTGCCGGCACTCAACTAAATATTTGATAAGACATGCTCAAACCACCTACTTAAAAAAGGATCGTTAGTCAACTAGTATCTTAACCACCTGACGAGAGAGGACTTTTAACCCTTTCGAAACAGATCCGTAGTGCGAAGTTCTAGTGCAAAGTTTTAATTTTTATTTTCCTAAATAATTATTTACAAAGCTCCATGATTGTAGAGCACTCTCCGATTCAAGGATATGGTTTTTTACGTTTATATATATATAAGTATATATATAAGTATATATATCTTATATATACTTATATAATTTGAATTTAAATTAATCCATCACTAGCTTAGAAATTAAACTACAGATCTCCGTTTTGCCAGTGGGACTTTATGCCACTAACGTAAAGCTATTGTTGTGATTTCATTGTTATCTTCATAGATAATAACGAGAGTAATTATGATAATAATGATATCCTAATTAGTAGGTAAATAGGAAAAATAAATGCTCTAGTTAGACTGAAAAGACCGATGGCAGGATCCTTATAGGGAACCGACGTTGGTAGAAAACCGGCGATCAGTATATAAAAGATATAGGTCAAAAAATGGCGATGAGAAATAAGGTTTAAAAAATATATAAGAGAGACTCTACATACTACATTTAGTAATTTGTAACGGTAAGGCAAAATGGGTACTCGAGTCTATCGGCTCACTCAGTCGGAGTTCATCCAGGTTCAGTCCGTGCATCATGAAGCCACTAAGAGTATTACTACTCCCATCCCTCCCCTGGACGGGATGCTAGTTAACCGCAAGGTTCCCCCCCTAGCATTTTACAAGGATTCCTTGAAAATTCACTAGTACCCATTTCTACTCCTGGGCGAAGAGAGGCACTGTGGGAGTAAAGTGTTTTGCCTAAGAACACAACACAATGTCCCCGGCCAGCGGCTAGAACCCAGATCCCTCGACCCGGAGTCCAGTGCACTGTGCAGTGTCTCTATCATTTGTCTAGACTCTTATCTAAATCCTAAGTCATTTAAGAATTTAAAAAGAGAGGTTGTTCCAATCCTTTCCAGCGGCTTATTATGAAAGGCATTGGCTCATAACAGTTTTGGTCTTGGGAGATTTAAGACCATTTAAGTTCTCTACTATTTCGATCCTCAGAGCCTTACCAACACGGAGTTTAGATCTTATCATCATAGTGTGCTTACTATGATCATATTTACCCTTGTCATTGTAATTTTCAGAGTTACCCAATGAAAGTGGAATAAGAATTCTACTTACTCCTCCTAGAAGGTTCCGCTTTGCATTTCGGACAACACTCCCCTGGTTCTTTTGGATAAACAATTTCTTTACAGCCCAACAATCCAGTGTCACATTTGATATGCATGCAGTCAGTCAGGTTTCCTTTTATGCACTCACACAATTCACAATAATCGTCCGTCTTGTGATATATTGGAGCTTCTTCTCCATCATTGAATACTTTGTCGCCATATCTACACTTCCCATCGGATATAATCCCTACAAAGACATTACAGAACATAAGTAGGATTAAAGTAAGTTGTTTCTTCGTCTTGTTTTAAGAATGGGACTAGGGAAAAATTCTGAGTCCCCGGGAGGATTCTGCGTTCTGATGCTACACAGAAGATTCTGAGGTGAGCTAAGCCATTACAGTTCGGTTTAAATGTGACAGGCGACCTGCGCGCTTACTGCTGAGATAAGCCATGTCGAAAGCCAGAATTTCCAGGATTGAGAGGGACAACCAGGGTGTCGAAAAGGGTTTGTTCTTTTATCAGAAGGGAATTTCGAGCCACTGTCTGGAAATTAACTTCAAGTGTAATTGCTTGCTCCCCTAAAACTCTCTTGGGTTTTATTAATGATCAGATTTTCAAAAAGGGTCAGTTATGGAGGTCAGAAAAAACCGTGAGTCGCAGAATTTCACTCTGAGTCAGTATCTACCGCAGGCCCAGCTAAGGCAGCAGAAAAGCCACGGATGCAAGGGAGAGTTTTCCAGGCAAGATTATGGAGAAAAATGAGGCAACATATTGTAACTGATAAAAAGCAATTTTTTTCATTGAGGCAAAAATTCTCAACCTACAAGGACAATCAATTCAGTTTGCGTGTCGGTTGGGTATCACCTATACATTTTAGCGAAAATCAAACGTTTGGAAAACCCGGATCGCTTCCTAATTTTCCTCTACCTGGATTAACGCTTTTTTTGTAAATGGAGATTGTCTTCTTCGATCCGGCTCCACCTGGACATTTGCTTTCGTTCTGCATTTTAAAATTATTTGGATCCCATTTTTCTAAGTCTCCATTTAAACACAAAATGTTTTTCTTTATCTTCTGGATTCCGATGATTGCATAGTCCTGGCTCTCACTGCACTGGTCAATAAGTTTCTCTGCTCCGGCCTTAATCTTCTTGTACCCCTTCTTGCCAAATACTTTCGCCTTTTTCAGTTTCCCAGAACTGAAACAACCCACAGGTTCGTAATTCGAAGGAACTAATATATGGTTGAAAAAAAAAAAAACTGATTTAAGACTTTTAAAGATGGTGATAGTCCATAGACAGAAACTAGAAAAGAGTTGCAGTTCTAAGAGAATGTAACAAAAAATTGAAGTTAAATGAGGAAATGCTAAAAACATTAGAGGCTGATGATTGTACCTGCTCTGTTGTACCGAGCCAGGTCGTCAAAGTCCCACGGTCCCTGAAAACAAGAAATTGTCAGTTCACTTTTTGAACGGTACTCTCTTGACTTTACTGTTGAAACTGCTTAATAAGATATATTTGAGTGGGCTTCAGTTCGTTGGCGCGAAGGAAATGATGTATTTGGACATTTAAATAATGACTGCTGAGTGAGGAAAATAAAGGTGGCGGGCGCGGCCAGATTGACAGACTAACAAAGGATTGTGGGTTTAAACGGGTACAGTGGAGGACCACAGAAATAGACAGGGATGAAGATAAAAAAGTTTCCAAAAGAGTTAAGAGCTTTCATTTTTTGGGCTAAAATTTCTGTAGATATGCAATGCCATTCAAAGCTGCCACAATTAATTCTGATTAGTTGCGCTCATTGACATTGGAAAAATCACTACAAATATAGTTTACAAACCTTGAAAGGTGTGCCATTCACTAAGCATATTGTCATCAAAACAACGCTGACCAGTAAAATCACCTGTGGATAGAGATAGTTAATTTTTGTCACAACCTACTCCTTAGCATTTTAAAGTTTAAAACTTTGATGCAGTGATCTAAAATCGATTTAATAAAAATTAGGTCGTTGGTACGCAGCTAGACACGCGACGCCAAAGTTGAGGCCTTTTCGCAAGAACCATGATCGGTGCTGAAAATATTGTTAAAAACAATGGTTACAACTTGTTAACTGAGTTATAAATGTGCGTTCTGTTTATGACATTTTAAAGGAAATCTACGAAAATTTGGGGAAGAATCGACCAATCCATCGAAGAATTACAAAAAGACCATAAAGGTTTCTAAGCCACCCCAGGTGCTGTTGAATTGAAATCTATTGTAAGTCATATCACCAAGTCAATATCAAAACATGTGTGCCACGGCTCTTTTAATCAGCAATGGATTCTACTCTGACGGAAAAGATTAAAAAGGGTGACCCATTTACGAAATATTAATTGTTTAGCTTCAAGAACTTGGTACTTGGCAGTTTGAAAAGCAAAATCAGGGTTTTACTTACGTTCATCACTTTTCTTGCTTTTTGGAGAAGCTCTGAGTCGACTCTTTTGCTTTAAGAAAATTAAGATTTTGGGGGAATTAATTCAATCACCAACAAGTAGCATACAATACTTCTGGAGAGCGCTATGTCTGTGTTTCTTGGACACTTTTCGACATCTTTTCTTTTAATGTTTTTTCGCTTTTGGAGCAGTATTTTGGAAACTGAGAGGCTTTTCATGCAACACCTCAATTTGATATCTTTATCGCCGATTTAATTTACGATTGCAAAACGCGCTCCGACAATTGTTTCACTCGCGTTCATTATGTTTTACGATCAGGTAAAAAGAAGCCTCCATCGGGCTTGCATCACCCTGAGTGCTTGTAAACGGGTCTTTTCCCTCCTGTAATTTACACAAATAAGTGTCATAAAACCAGCAGAGAATTTCGTTATTTTGAATTTCTCGCCTCAATATAATTCTGTTCCAATTCCTCTTTACAATTATATTTCGTTAAAACACCTTGCTTAGCTTCGAGCGAATATATAAGGCTATCAAAATAAGCAATTAGTAAAGCAAAAATCATTATTACCAACCACCAAAAGCCATTTACAAACCTCTCTAAATGTGATTTTGAAACTTTTAAATTTAATAGACACCTATCGTAAACTAACGTTTTAGAGTAAAATAAAAGTAAAGTCATGAGTAATGGGTGCTTCTTTGGTCTCACTCCTAGCCTTACTTTACCTGTGTATACAGCTCCGTGTGCGAAGATTAGGAACTGGAAATCAAATGAGCCTTTCAGATTAGGTATTTAAACGTTTTGAAACAGAAATTCTTCCCAAGAGAGTAAATGGTCATAGAGACTCTATAGAGACGAAAAGACTACGTGCTAGGTCGAAAATCAATTAAGTCTTTAATTAAGAAAAATCGTTTTTTTCATGTTGAAATTCGTGAAAGTTTTGCTTCTTACTTCATTAATTACTATGAATGGCTTTCTTGAAAATATTAACAAATTACAAATTAATCACACATCTTGAAAAAAATGGATAATATCAGCCGCTTCTTTACAGTAGAAAAGTGCTAAACTATTTACATTGTACTTAAGCTTTTATCCCACTTTTAATCAAATTATGACAATGTCGTAAGTCTGGCACTTTAGAACATGAATACTAGACGTTGTCCTGTTGGTAATAATCTCATTTTTCAATAAGTCAAATTAAATTTTATGTGCGTTTAGTAGCTGGTTGGCTAATATAAACAAATTTATCTGGAATTAACATCAATTGGATTTTTCAATGCGAAAGAGGTTAAAATCTTTTTAAGCTTTTTTGAAGTCACTCGCCAAAGTTTTTTTTTCTTTTGAAGAAGGAGTATTTGTCTTCACGTGAGCAATACATCCCTATTGTTAAAGGTAGACATTATCATAGAATATACAAATTTAAATTTTCACACCGTCATTACGTTAAAAATGATTTAAAGTGTACCTGAGCTACTGATCTAAGACTTCGAGTTGACAAACCGAACAAGAAAGGACGACAACATCGTGTTTCATAGCGTTTCGGGCGTAGGAAAAATCGAAACGTGTTCATGGTGCAACTGCTTTTCAAATTTGTCCAACAAGAAGATTTTCCAATCAAAAGACGTCTTGACTGAGGACTGACGTCCAATGCTGAGAGGAGAGAATCTTCTCTATGAAAAGAAGAGTTTTCCACGATGTCATTTGAAGTTCAAGTATAGTTGATTTTGTTTTGAAATACCATCATAAAATAATGTCAACTAAGAACTAAATGGTATTCTGTTAAGTGCGAAAAAGTGTTTACATTTATACTCAATAGTGATGAAGCCTTCTGCTATTGTTATCAAAACGTTAGCCACTTCAGTGGAATTAACCTCTATAAAGCGGTCACCGGCAAGGAATGGTGAACGCTAAATGCAGGTTCCAAATGAAGGGGATATCATAAAACAAGATGAAAACGCCATTTTGTGCCATAACTTACCAGTTATTGAACAAAAGCTCGCTCAAAAATTCTACTAGCATTGATTTCGGGAAATAAACATGGATTAGATTTTACTTGTAAGATTATTCCCAATTTTATTTGAGTGGGTCCGCTCTAAGTGATCGTTCAATACAGGTGGAGAAACTACGATCAGGCCGTTGGGTCTCAGAAAAGGGTGACCACGACCGCAAAGTTGACCGCTTAAAACAGGGTGACTGCTTTTTATGCTGTGCCGCTTAATATTACTTACAGCAGTCCTTCTCACGTCACGGCGAAGGTGATCGTTCCAGCTTATGTATATGTAGTAGAAATGTACAATGCATAATTTGAATGGCCTTATGATAATAAATCGATTCAACAGACAAAAGACGGTAAAAGCAAAACAAAACAATAACAAAAATGATAAAGTGAGAACAACAACTATTTCATTGGATCGGTTGGAACACGGAAGAACATTTGTGTGACACCCGGCTTGCTATTCTTATCTAAAAAGTACTTTCCTGAACTGAAATACCTTAATAATTTGAAGAGGACCGCGAGAATTGTATCTCTTGATATTTCACCCTCGCCTTTTTTTTTTTTACCATCCTCTTTGCATCAACCAATCAAAAGCACCTGAACGCCAAGAACCTGAGTTTTCCATTAACCTACATCTAACAGCTAGTCAGAGTGGATGAAAGAATCTGAATGTTTAGATTCCAACTGTTAAAGCTTTCACTTTAAATATTTGTTCAATCTCCTTAGTTACTGGACTAAATAAAAATTTTCGAATTGAAACACTATCAGAAAGTACTGATCTCTTCGAAAGCCCTCGTTACACAAAGTAGATGCTACCTTATCCGAATAAAAAACAAAAAAAAAAAAACGAGCGTGCTTTACCCGGAGTTTTTTTAAATTTTAATTCGTAGATCTAAACTGAGCTAATTTCCACATCTTGAAAAGGAATAGTCCAGTCCATTTAGACCTTGATTTAAACGTGCCTTTAAACTTTAAGGATAGTTTTTATACCGAAGACATACTATTAAGAGTTAAAGGGCAAAGTTTTAAGTTTGAGGGGAAAGAGAATTTAGGTTTGTCGTCTAATATTGCAAGCTAGACGTTGAAGTCGGCAAGTTTCGGCTGTCCTCCTAATTTTCAAAGACCAGTTGGTTCTCCATAAGGACTTCTACAAAAAGTCGTATTTGCACCTTGATCCAGGCATGATTTAAGACTGTAACGAGAAAGGCTGATAGTTTCTGATAGTTTCTGTTTGGCGCTGCGTCGGTGGGGGTAACGAAATAATTTGAATATATCAACAACGTTGAAATGATAAATTGGCCACCGTTACGGTTATAAAAGCTGACGTTTCGAGCGTTAGCTCTTCGTCGGAGCGAATAGAGGAATTGTGGGTTGTGTGTGCTTTTAAAGGCAGAAAAGGAGAAAGGCAGAAAAGGAAGAAAAGGCAGAAAAGGAGAAAAGTTTTGCACTAAGCAAGTAATACTAAGAGTTGAAGCGTTACGTTATGAAAAAACAATTCAGTTTTGGCGTCTAATATTAAAAGTTAATTTTAAGCAGAAGTCTGCTAGTTCTGGAACTTCTCGTTATTCAGTCAAAGAGCAGTTTGTTCTCCGTAAGGATTTCTACCAAAAACTATAATTAATCTGAAGTTTTTTAAATTCTTTAGGCTATGATTCTTACCTGAATGTTTGCTTTGTTCTTCCCCGTCCTAAATGAAAACTTGATGTCCTTCTTTCGCTTTTAAAGTGAACATTTGAACATCGTATTTATAAAAGGCTACTATTGTTTTTCTTGTGATTGGATAACTCCTAACAATCAAAGGAATATTTGTCAAAACAAATAGGGGTTATTTACCAACTACAATAGATGATTAATTGCCAGCTCACAATATTATTTTCAGGTAGGTAGAATAGAGAAGCTTTGTCGATCCTCTGAGTTGTTGGAAGATGATAAATTCGTCAAGGTCTTATTAATACACCAGATACTAAGTGGCGGTAGTACAAAGCAAATTATGTGCATTGGTAAAACTCGAATATGCATTTCCCGATTTTATTCTAATATCTATATAGAGAGAGATTTAATATGACGTAGTCAATATTAGCCAGACTTGGCAATTTCCTCAAAAACAAAGTCAAAATGAAAATTTCGCTTTTTGTTCATATCACATGAAAGCAATTTTAACAATTACCAGGTCGTGAAAAACTTACCAAACAAAGCACTACTTTTAGGTAAATTGCTTTATTTTCAAGGGCGTATAATTAGCAGTTGGTTAGGAATATGTGTTGGAACTGTTTTGTTTTACCCGAGTGAAAAACAAAACTGTTGTCTGTTATTGGTAAGAAGTTCTGTTTAACCCACATCAATGGCTTCGATATATTCCTGTTTTAACATGATTGAAATGTTCTTTATATTAATTAAAAAAAAAATCAAGCTGAGATTGAACTGTTTACTTGATATCTTTGGTAAAGGGGTTCTAACACGTGGGCGGTAAAGACTGAAATGTTATCTGCTAGCAATATTTCAGAATGTTTTGATAGATGTGCTTAACGAATACATGAACAAAAAGCACGTGAGGGATTTCTTTCAAAGTTTCCTTCGGAAGGCTGAGACTCTTAATAGCTTTTGTTTGCATTGTCTGCCTTTTATGGCATGGGCAGACAATTGAAAGAGAGTCTCAATGCATTTAAATGTCATGTGTTAGTTCGTGAAAAGTGTCTGAAAATCCAACTCCTAAATTCTATTGAAAACGTTGTTTGTCAAGAGAAAAATAGCTCTTCTGAAATCAATTTTGAATGAGATAGGAAATATCAAGTACAATTAGAACTTACCGAATTTTCTCTGATAATTTAAAGGATGTTGATTATATTAAAGCGTCCGAGCTTCCGAGCGTCCAGTTCCTAACTGAGAGAAATTGTTCCTCAAAATTAGAAATGAAAACGAGTTGTATGAGTAAAAAGAGAATCGCCAATAAACGGATCATCCGGCTGACCTATGCTCGGTACTGCCATCTTAAAATCTATATTCCACAAGGATGTCGGATAGACACACATGCAGGCACCAAGATTTTCCTAATTTCTTTTTTTAGGGAGAGTCTGAATAAAACTTTTTCAGCAAATAGGATTTAGAAGATATATTATCATTTACCACTACAACAACAATAATGGCAAAGAGCTAACGCTCGAAACGTCAGCTTTTGTAATCGTTACGGTGGCCAATTTACCATTTCAACTTTGTTGATATATCCAAATAATGACAAAAGACAATAGAAAAAAAGAACTGTATTTAAAAAGTTCGGTTTTTACAAACACATCAATAGCCTTCCGTAAAACCGAACTGTTGAACCTATAGTTACAAGGAAAGAAAGTTGCTATCATCCCAATTTTATTCTTCCGCTCTTGTTCTTAACTAGACTGCTCTTTTTTTTTACCCTTCTTGTATAGGTTTGTTTGTTTTGGAAAGCATCAACAATCACACCACGTGGATCAAGAATTCGAAAACAAAACTGTATTTATAAGGCCCACGCTAATCTGGTCTAATTGTCTATCGAAAATAAGTTTGGAGACACCAACCTTGCGTCGTACTATCTAGAATGAAAATGCTGACTTTCAAATTATCTGTGGAAGATGTAATAAAAAAAAAAAGCCGAGGACGCATACAAAACTCGGATTAGCTAGATGATAACTTGGCCTCGAGTGCGCAATTATTTTGAGTCAAAAATGCCTTTCCTTGAGACTTAATTTTCAAAAAGACCACTGAGAGTTGGGAAAAGTGGAGCGAGGCTTTTCTTCGTCAGAGGACAAGAATCAAAATGGCGGCGTCCTCGATTTAATTATGTACTTTTACCAGTGACATTCAAAGAGAGTTCTCGAAAGGCTGAACTATTCTTTGAAATAGTGAATAGCAGCCAATAAACCCTTAGAGATTCGGTGATGAAAATTAGCTATCGTCGGTATCTAGAACATACTGCTTCCATAAGGAACTTGGCTTTTCTTACAAATCAAAGCCTGCGAGCCAACTTCTACCAAGAAGGAGAACATAATGAAACTCTCTACCATGGGAGTGTCACCCACTGCCATCACGTGGTTCCAGAGCTATTTGTCTGGCCGTACCCAATCAGTGCGCATCGGCTCCATCCGGTCGGATCCGCTACTCATCACACACGGAGTTCCTCAAGGCGCGATAATTTCTCCACTCCTTTTCTGCATTTACTCGAACGATCTACCATACGCGCCTCAATTTTGCCATCTTGAGTCTTATGTCGATGATTCTAAATTCTTGCTATCTTTCAATGCAATTGACTCTAACAATGCCAAGATTAAGATCGAGGAGGATTTACAAAGAGTCGCTATTTGGTGTTGCGAAAACCAGTTGCTAATAAACCCCAATAAAACGAAATTTATGCTGATTGGCACAAGGCAGCCGATAAATAGACATTCCAATGATTTCTCGGTGTCATTGCTGGGGAAGTTCCTTACCCCTGTTGACTCAGCAAGAGACTTGGGTGTGATCATTGACTCACACCTGACCTATGATAGTCACATTTCTTACTTAGTCTCTGTTCTTGTTTATCAAAACTAGTCCAGATCAACACAGTTAAAAACAGTTTCGACAAGGAAACACTAAGGCTTGTTACTTCATCACTGTTATTCAGCAAAATGTTCTATTGCTCAACAGTGTGGTCAAGTACATCCTCCACTAATATAAAGAAACTGCAACTGATCCAAAACTTTGCTTGTAAAATCATCACCGGTTCCAGGAAGCACGATCATGTCACTCCCCTATTGCACCAACTTAACTGGTTGTCAGTGAGCCAGACACTACAACTTAGAGATACAGTTATGGCCTATAAGTGTGCTAATAATTTAGCATCCGACTACGTATGTAACAAGTTACAAAAACGCACCACCATACTTGATCGAGCCACTCGGCATAGCAACAAACTTCAGATCCCTTATTATAAGTCCGCGAACGGTCAACGAACCTTTGCCTATAGAGCAGTTTCACTATTAAATTCCCTGAGTAGTGACCTAGTGAACTTGCCTTCAGTAAGGTCACTCTTTCAAGGACTCCCTAAGAGGGGCACATTAATAGTCTTTGTACGATACCCACTGGACATATATATATTTATTAAAAACTGGATCATGGGATAATGCAATTCAAGACTTTTTATTGACTTAGCTGTTATGGTATGTGAGCCAATATACCATAATCTAGAAATATGGTAAGCGTACGCGTCAGCTTAAAATCAAAAGGGAGCTAAAAAATCCGGTTTCTTCTTACAAAATAATAATTTCTTGGGGGCGTTTTTAATAAAACAATTATTCCACTCGCGCTTGTTGGATATGAGATGATTATAGCTAACTCGGCGCTACGCGCCTCGTTGGCTATCTATCATCTCATATCCAACGCGCGCTCGTGGAATAATTGTTAAATATTTTTTTCATTGTCATTACCCTATTTTAAGTTGTTCATTTGTGATTGTAAATTTTCTACCATCGTAAATAGTTGCTGAAAAGCCTGTACAGGAGTAATTATTAAAGTTCATTCATTCATTCATTCATTCATAATGTAAAATATACAAGAATTTATAAAGATAACGAGGCTGAAAATTAACTAAAACAATTGTCCAAGACTTAAAACTTCGTATCCTCGGAAAACAGAACTGTAGCTTCCTGCGATTCAGGGGCGGTTGCATTTTCTGGACTTTCAGAGTCTTCAGCAAATGTCTGGTGAGTTATGCCAACTTCCGTTTCTTTAGTTTCCCCAAGGACTGTTGCCGCCGATCCACACAGTGCTGAAGCGTCTATCTCGGACTCAGTTCGTTTTGCCACTTTTGTTTTCTTCTGGCGGGACATCCAGTGGTATGTGCCCGCGACTAGCACTAAGATGGCGAAATAGGAGATAACCAACCCGACTATAGTAGTGGATTTCTTTTCGGGCTGGGCTGTAGTAGTGGCGTTACCTATTTTTAGAGTTAGAAAAAAACTGAGGTGTTAAGAAAATAAATTTAGTGGGAAAGCCTTTTAAAGGCGAACTAGTTCTTGTTTTCTTGGTAGCTTTGCTCTTTTGAGAAATGCAGAAAGTAAAAATACCGTAAATTATTGGTGTTTTGTCGGTAGGGAAAAAAAAAAGTTCTCAAGACGAACCAAGACGATCCTCTGATACTGGGCGAACTGACAAGGAGACTCTCAGTGAGGTTGACCGAGAGCCGTAAAAAGGCCATAAATTTAGCCTATTAGGCGTAAAAATTGTTGTAAAAAAAGTTAACCGTAAAAAATATTTATGTTGACAACGATGGAATGATATTAACCGTTTGCCATAAAGCAGCCAGAATTTTAACTTTTGGCCGTAAAAGCCATCACCCCATTGAGATCCTCGGCTAGGTGTCTATGACAAAGGACTCGTGTGAATAACAATCTTACGAATGAAGGATCAAATCTCTTTGAAATCGATTTTCCATCATCATCGTTTCACAATCATTTGAACACAAAATTTTAAGGTGCAAAATGCAACGGCGTAAATGACATACCAGGGGCACTCCCTTGCTCAGTGGTCGAGTTACTCGAGTCTAGAGATTAAAAGATCAATTATCTTTGGAAAAAAATCAATAATTAAAGTATTTTTAATTACGAGCAAGAGCCATTTTCAATTGAGGGTAGAAAGTAAAAAAAGATTTGCATTACATTTTTTGTCTTGACGCTAGCTGTGATTAGTTTGAAACCAGCGCCAACCTTCCAACCAATCAGATGTAGAACCTATCTGGGCTTGGTCAGTCTCGGTTTCCCTAGCAGAAGTCACTCTTTTTTTTTCCTGTTGTCCTTAAGTTCTCATTGGCTTATTAGGAGGTAAATCTTTGTTTTGGCTTCACGACACTCAAACAAACAAACTGCACAGAATTATATTACAATTAAAAAGGGACAATTAAAGGAAATGATGTTATACAAGATTGCGCTGATTAAAACAAGTGTCACTGGCGCCATTAGGGACCTTAAGCAACCACGATGGCGACGGCAACGAGAACGTGGAAAAACAAGAGATCTAATTGGCAGAACAATAGCTCAGTACGTGCGTTTTGAAACTCTGTACATATCTTAGCCGTCCTGTGCAAAACAGCAACGTAAAATCGCCAAAATTTGCGTCGTCTGCGAACCGAAACCGCGACGGCAAATTAATTTAAGTTCCATTTGGAACTCAACGCTACTTCTATACGTCATGCTGAATTTGAGCTGTGGCGCCGTATGAATAGTAAGATCATGCAGCCATTTTTTAAATTCTAACTAAGAGTAGAAATTCATTTTTTAATCGAAGTCTTCCTTGGCGTTGCCGTCCTGACTGCTTAAGGTCCCTATTATCATTTGCTGAGAACCCTTCCTTTTCTTTTTAAAGGGGTAAATATGGTTGATAACACACATACTGGTTAGGAGAGCAGTTGAATTTGTAGGTGGAGGTGAAGACGAAGGTGGAGCTGGAGAAGATGATGAAGATGAAGAGGAGGAAACCAGGGAAGACATTGCTGACACTGTAGGTCCAACAGATGATGAACTGAGGTAATTGGATGATGCAGGTGACGATGAGGATGAAGTTTGAGAGGTATTGGGCACACCGGCAGTCGATGGGGAGGGCAAGATTGATGAAGATAAAGAAGTGGAGACTGGGAAAGACGTAACTGGATCGGTAGGTCTGGTAGATGATAAACCGAGGTAAATGGATGACGCAGATGACGATGAGGACGAAGTTTGAGGGTTACCAGACACACCAGCAGTCGATGAGGAGGGCGAGAATGATGAAGGTGAAGAAGTGGAGACTGGGGAAGACGTTACCGGATCGGTAGGTCTGGTGGATGATAAACCGAGGTAACTCGACAACGCAGGTGATGATGAGGATAAAGTTTGAGAGGTACCACGCATACGGGCAGTCGATGAGGAGAGAAAGAGTGAGGAAGATGAAGAGCAGGAAGCTGGGGAAGTAAAACAAATTATGGAGGAGAAATTGGAGATGAGTGAGAGTTAGATTTCCAGCACAAAAAATTTTAATACTCGAACGTACAACTTCCAGTCTCTACAATTCCAAAGCTCTCGTTCAGCGTCCGCATGCAGCCTTTGCTTGAACAGTTATGATTTCATTATCGTTGTTTTATTTCTTGCTGATTCATAGCGGGGGCTGAGTGTAGTTTGAGAAACGAAATGAAACGAAATTTAAATCTGTAACTTATGAAATGAACTCATAATCTGTAATTTTTGAAAAGGAAATCTGTAATTTGCAAAATGGAAATCTGTAGATCTGTAATTTGCAAAACAAGAATTGCATAAAACTTATGATCACCAGCCGGAAGGATGATTCGGTAAGTTAATTAGTGTTAATTAGTTAATTAGTTAATTAGTGTTAATTAGTGTGGCTTACATACGTAAGCTCGCAGCCACTAACAACTATAAGGAAAGTGCGAAAGGAAAATCTGCTTGGAGTACTTTGCGAAATATTCACTTGAACGTTAACGATGAATCAGAAGTATCACGCTTTCCTCCTCAGTGGGAATGAAAACATAGCAGTAATGTCATGCCATTTCCCTTTTTCACAACAACAAAAAAATCATTCTACGAAAATGGAATGTAATAAAAAAAAGATTAGGTAGGGGTCTAAATGTAAATATTATTCAATATATGCTAAGGTCCGTATGCAAGTGACGCACTGACCGATTCATCCTTCTGGTCAAAGGATATTACCGCACGGATTCTCGTTTCGTAAATTAGGGATTTTCATTTCGCAAACTGCAGCTTTCCATTTTACTAACTACAGATTTTTTAGTTCATTTCGCAAGTAATATAATTTCCTATTCGTTTCGTTTAGATCGATTTGAAAATTACAGTAAGCCCTCACTACGAATCAGCAAGAAAAAACAACGTCTGCCGAACAAAAGAACTCCTGCTGAAACTCATACATGAACTTGTTTACACTCTTTGGGCTGATAAGGATCGCAAGTGATGGCAAGAATACAAACTGTTTCACAACACTTAGTACCTAAGGAAGTTAATTACATTATTAACTCCAAGAGTCCCGGAAACTAATAACATTTCAGTTGATTTACTCGAAACGCAAGAGACTGTAAAGGTATGCTAGAAGATATTGGGCAGAAAACTCGATGCAGTAATCATCAGCCAAAATTATTTTTAAGGGTATAATGTATATATCCCAAATAACTTTACAAGAACAAAAAGGGACAAAGTTTCCGGGTCCTTACGCATGTTACACGAAAATTAAAATATAACCTTAGAAATGAAAATTCGGTCAACAGCCAATTATAATTAATTATAATTAAGCGGTTCCTATTATAACTTCAAGCTTAGCAAAAATGAATGTATCCTAGGGTGATCTGCTACTCAGTAATTAACGCAATTTCCCTGATCGAAAATTGCAATTGGTTAAATATCTAACTTCAGAGAAGGAAATTTCAGCGGTCGTTTGTGTAGGCACGAAAACCCTCATCATGCAACCAACTGAGTCAGTATGTCACGTGTAACGTTTTTGCTTTTAACACTGAGGTTTTTTTTTATTGAGAACCTAAAATAAAGTTTAGAAAAATCCCTCGACTAGGATTCTACATATCAATTTGAGATTATTTTATCTTACCTGGTGGGCTACAACTAGCAGAGGTCGGAATGACCAGAAATGAAACGTAACCGAGGCAGAGACCAAGGTAAATAAAATACCGACACATCTTAAGCTTGAGAGAGGATTCTTCGGATCATGAACCGGTGGGCTGTACCTAAAGAGTTGCACCGTCAGCCTGACTCAATTTAAGTAATCATCGACCTGAACCCAGTGACGTATTTGTCACCGTTGATGCAAATCCCGCGTCATCGAGGAGGGAGGGGACCTTGGGTGGGGAAATCGCCGGCCTCCCAGCAGCCAGTTTAATTTCGGTACATTTCGGGTTTGTTAGTTTCAGAGATCGATACCCGTTCGCTACACTGAACATCGAGTTCGCTACATCTGTAAACCCAGTTTCCTACAAACCTTTCACCTCATTGTTCAAAGTACAATGACGATACAGCGACAAAGTCCATTCGATACTTACTCATGAAATTATTAATTTATTAAATTTTAATTCGATTTTCCCTGTTGGGCAACTAGTCTCTCTTATCTGCTGAGTGAATTTAATTTTCTATCTAATAATAGATCTTCAACATCTTGTTGTTTTTGTTATTTGTTTTTTGTTTGTTTGTTTGTTTTTTTTTTGCGTTAAATAAAAATCCAAGGAGCCTAAGTCACTGCTTTTTATCGATCAAATTTCTGCCAGAGTTCAGCCGCAGACAAAACAAATATGTGATTAATTATGAGCAGCTGTTATTGAATTTCCGGTATAAGACGAAAATCCTATTAATAACCAAAAATCGAATTTTCTACTGAAGTCTTGGATAGCTGGTATACTATGTAACCCTTGAAGGTCACTGGGTTACTCAGCTTCTCCCTGAGAAATTTAAGCGATCTCAGTAACAGTAAGCGATCAAATGAAAAAAATACTCTCACTATGATAGCGGAAACAACACAGAAGGTCGTAGGTAGCCATTATTTGCCAGCAATGTCGATATTGACCAACAGATTTGACAAAAATTAACTTCTTTGTGATGGGATTGAAGGACATGAACAAGAGCGACTGTTACTGTATGGCTGTTGGCGAGTACCTTGCTCTGTTTTTGAAAATATTAGACATCAAAAATATCTGCAGCATTCTGGATACAAAAGCTGAGAATAGAAAAACAGCTGAACCTCAGCTAAACTTTAGCCACTGCGAAAACAACGTGGCTCAAGACCGATTATGCCCAATGTAGTTGTTAAGAACCCATAATCATGATCGTAAAACTCAATATTCAGTTATTCTGGTTATATGGGAACCTTAATTAGGAGCTCTCTGAGTTAAACTAACTTTCTTACCTGTAAGAGCAACGCTGGAATTTTCGATTAAGAAAGCATTAAACTGAGAGGCATCAAACAATGTTTGGTCTAGGGCGGATCCAGGATTTAGTCAAGGGGTGTTCGGAGAATTTTTCCCCTTTCTGAGGGGTCCAAGATTTTGAAAATTAGGTCTTCGGAATCATGATTTCCAGCGTTCTGAGGGAAAATTTAGGGGGTTCGACCGAACCACTCGGAGCACCCCTGGATCCGCCCCAGTTGGTACTCCTAAAACATATAATGCAAATTCCACCGGTTCACCGTCTGGCATCGGTTAGCTGGGCAAGAGATGACACTGAGCCATTTTGTTTCCTTTTGATATGAAGCTGGAACTTCAGGCGAGAGGAGATTGCCTGGAACGAGACACAGTGTGTCTCGACTCAGGCCTTTCCTATACATACCACATTAATTTACGGATCGCTTTCCTTCTCTGTTCGATTGGAAAAGACAGCACGACTAAAAGTAGTCCCGGCGACCAGTTGCCAATTTATTGTTATGTGAAAAGGCTGACTTTACTGCTATCTTTTTTAGGTACTTTGTTGGAAAAATACTTGTTTTGCGCATGCCCGAGGATGCAATCAATTCTACTCTCATGGCCGCCGGTGATCTTCCTGTTGTGGACTGAAAAGCATCATCCAATTCCTAGATTGGTGATGTGAACGGACAACATAGCATCGATGTTTTCAAGAAGTGAAATACTCTTCTAATCAAGACGGGTTTGTCTCAGAGTTAGGAAGAATAAGAAAGTTGACCGACTATCCCATAACCTTAGAGTAGCTACATATAAGATTCTACTGCCAATCTTAATTATTATAAAAATCCCTTTTTTCTGATCAAGTTTCTTCCTCGACTTTTATGATATAAGGCGAGTCAGCTATGAGATACCAAGGCCGCAGAGCAAACTAGCGATAAAAGGAGAATCAATGTGACTCGGTAAAGATATTAAGTAACAAGGCGTTTGATGAATAAATTCACTAGACTTTACGATGGAAATGAAGTTTATCTTTTGTTTGTCCACAACTTAAAACTTGGTATCATCATTAAAAACAACTATTGCTTCCCGTGATTCAGTGGCAGTTGCATTCTCTGGACTCTCGGAGTCTTCAGCAAATGCTTGGTTGGTTATGCTAACTTCCGGTTCTTTGTTAGACTCCAGGAATGTTGCCGCTGGTTTGCACAGCGGCGACGTGTTCATCTGCAAGTCATCTCTTTTTGCCGTATTCTTTTTCGTTTGACGTGATAACCAGTAGAGCATGGCCGCAACTACAACCAAGTTGACGAAATAAGCGATAACAAACCCGCTTACACGCTCAGCTGTGAAAGGAAAAGTAGGTCTAAGTTTTAAGTAAAAAAAAAGGAAATTCTATCGATGGGGGCAAATGTCCTTAAACGAACTCAAGCTTTTCTCCCCTCCTGGCCTACAGAAATTGGTATCCGTAACAAACAAAAAAGGTGACCATGGATAATTTTCGAGTGGCTGAATAGTTATGTCAGTTTTTAGTATAATTTCAGAGCTGAACAAAGAGTTTCCAGCAATCTGATTGGTCGAGCGGTTCCTTATATGACGCTATATAAACCGCTCCGCGCGGTTTATATAAAATGTTCAACTAAAATATTAATAAATGTGACTAAAATGTTATGATCTTAGAACTTTCTCTGTTGTTCGTTCAGCTCTGAAATTATACTAAAACAATTATTCGCCTCAGGTTCGGCGAATATTGTCGAATAATCCCCTCGACTTCGTCTCGGGGATTATTCAACGATATTCACCTCGCCTTCGGCGAATAATTGTTAAATATCGATTTGCACGTCAAGTGTACATGAATCTATTATGTTTGAGTGAGCCCCAAAAAAGATTCGGCTGATCGTTTGTTTCGATAAGAGGGACAGTGGCAGATTACGTAAAAAATTATACTTTCTTGAAGATAAACATATATGGAAAATAAATGAGACCGTGTTAGCTGTTCACGTTTTTTACATGTAGTGTGCGTCAAAGGATATTGCCTGTCCAGGAGTTTATTGAGTAAAACGGAGAGAAACGGTAAGCGGCGCAATTTTAGCGACGGAGCCAAAATGAGGAAGATCTGGGTCGGTTAAGCCATTCGACCCACGCCTCCCTCGCTCATTTTGATAAGTGAACGCCTGGAGCAGGCTACAGTGGATCTAATATGTTTAGATCCCAAGTTATATCAACCTCGTTTCGCGGGCTTTCCCTCATATGTGGGCAGGGTGATATGAGTGAAAAGGCCTGGGAACGAGGTTGAAGTTACTTGATTGAAATTGAAAATGTTCCATTTGAAGCTCGTCTGAAATTTGTTAAAGTTTTCAGAAAAAGGATTTCTTCCTTCTCATTATAACATGAGAGTAAATATGTTTGACTACATGCTTACCTTTCTCTTGCGAAGAAAGAGATGGCTTTTTGGAGGAATTTTCTGTAGGACAAAACAAAAGAAGAATATAGATTTGAAGATTAAGATTATGGATAAGAGCTCGGCCCTCCCTTAACTTCCATGACATCATTCAGAAATGTAAATTTCTCCAATATCACTGAGTGTATAAAACGTACGTGTTGAAACACCCGTTGAGCACAATACGAAAAAAATGCACTTTAGTTGCGAAAAAGAGCACAAGCAGGGGTTATGTAGCTAGCAATTCAAAATTTTAAGCCTGATGCTAAGAATCGATATTATAAGTTTGCACTGCGATCGTTTTGAATTTTAGTTGTTTGTTGCATCGCCCTCATGAGCACAATGCATTTAGTGCATGTTATAAGTGACCAAATATTCTTAACTCGTAAGGGATAGGTCCAAAGGAATCAACTGGCCAAGTACTCCACCTAACATTCATAGATATCGTTTCTCTCTAGCTAAGCGATTTTAAGCCCTCCGTACGGTATCGAATTTCAGTAACGTCCACACGGAATCTTTTTCATTTGGAGACGTATGACCTAACATGGTTGTGTGACACTAAACAACTGTAAATTTCACTGATCGAACTCTTGCCCTTCGTCTCTATAATTTAAAGTGTTAAAACGGGATTATATTGGATATTCGGCGCAAAAACCATTAAAATTCGATCTCTTTAACCGCTCAAGACAATCAAAAGAACCATAATGGAAAGAGAAACAGATTGCATTTAGAAATCTTGCAAGATTAGATCAGTACTTATAAGAACACAGATGAAAACAATAGATAAACATTTTATGAAGATCATTCCTTCTACGATTTTTAAAACATGTCAGTGCCTAACCATTACGGGGTAGGAAAGTCATATCGAATTAAAAAAAAAAACGCCAGGATCGAAAGTCTCTTTCACAATAGAGCACTTGCTATAGCCAGTGCAAAAACTGTTTACGCTCTCAAGACTGACATAGGGTGAAACCAATGCCAAGGATGCATGCGATCGATTTTGCATAATTATATTAGCTTGCAAGGAATTTTTAATCAAATTACATTTATAATTCTAAGACCCCGGAAACTAATTCTAGTCGATCTTCTCGAAAAACAAACATTTCTTTGAAAAAGATGGTGGACCTAAAATATTGACTTGAGGATCAGCCGAGTAAAACTGACATATACTGTTTGGAGTAAGTGTTTACATCCCAAAAACCTTTGCAATAATTAACGAAGTGTTGATGACGTTTTCAGGTCACTGTGTAGATCAAAAATTCAACGAAAAGTAAAGAAAAAAACAATTTGCTTATTTCTATTAATTATTAGGTCTATCACGACTCCAAATTAAGGTTTTAAGCTTGCATACATTTACGAAGCTTAAAGTGGCCAGCTACTCTGCAATTTAGGAAATTTCCGTGTGTATCTTACAATGTGGGTGATTAAGAAATACGAGGTCAACTGCGCGAAGGAGCGGAAATTCTCGACGATCGAGACAAATACTTAGTAAGTGTAGGCAAGAGGGACGTTTCTTTAAACACTGCCGAGTTCTACACTATGAAACTAAAAGTCTAACAGAACCTTTAATCAGGATTGATTAATTTCATAAAAGATTATTCTTACCTGTTGGGATTGTGGAAGCAGCTGTTTGAATGTTCAAAAATAGAACGTGAGAAAGGTACAGACTTAAAAATAGAAAACTCCGCGACATCTTATGCACGAGAAAGAGTCCTCCAGACCGAGAGCCGGCAAAATCCGCCTTGATAGTAATACCGTCAGTCGGTTCCTGTTTAATAAAAACTGTCTATAAGTACCCAAACCCTAAAGGTCACGTTATCACCAACGGTGCACACCTGCATTGATGGGGAGGAAGACCTCAGGCAAGAAAATCGACACCACCACTGTGACGATGTCTTAATGCTTGTACCACCGCAAGTCAATTCGGGAATCCACGTCGACCAGTAGACTCCCCTCCTCTTTCCCCATCCCTTCCCCCTCCCTTTCTGGCAGATTTTTTCAAATTTTTCAAAATTTTTACTAGTCATGATGAAAATTATTGGTAACGCATGCGAAACACACTGCCCAGACTCTGCAACATCTTTCGAGACGTTGTTTAATTAAAATTATTTTCTGCCCCAATAAGGACTTTTTCCAAACGTTATTTTCTGCCAGGTAGATATAAAATGTTTGCTTCACATTATATCTCACATCATTTGTTAAGTGTCATCATCTCGTGATGTCTTGTTAAGTTTTGGATCTCATATAAATGACAGACCATGGGTCGCATCTCCTCTGACATCTCCATAGCTTGTCAATCAATTTCCACCGCAACATCAGCAAACATTACCAATATTCGAGTAATTAGAAACAACTATGGTGAATTTCCGGTGTTGACTAAAATCCACTTATGATGAAGAAACTGTAAAAATATCATAGGTGGCACGCAATTTGTCGCACGCTAGAGGAGCCTAGAGGGTCAAAGTAACTTCTTTCTACGAAATTCTACCGATCACAGTTGTGAAAAACAGCCCTCATAACGGGAACCAACGAGGGTCGCAGATGGCAGTTATCAACAAGCGAGGTCACAGTCCAATTTTTGATGATAACTCCTTCAGTGGAGTGCAATATCCTGATTTAGAAATCATGGCCGCTCATTGTTAATCACGATATCAATAATGAATCACAACAGGCTATGCCACCTTTGTCAAAACTAAACTGCTCAGGGCTAGGACAACAAACAAAAGTTTCCACGCCAGTTTACTAAACCAGTGTGAAAAAGACTCAAAGTGGAACTGAATAAATTACACGACTGAACTAAACGGCTGGAGAGCAACTGCCTATCAAGGCTGTTGTTACTGATGTAGACTTATGAGAGGGTCTCAATGGGGTAATTTTGTAACGCCTAACGGTTAAAAGTTTGGCTATTTACAACTAACGGTTAAATCCATTAGGATCCTCTTCTTACTCTGTTTGTTTCCTTGTCACATTGCGACAATTCTTCCGTCATCTCGGAGAAAGAAGAACCAATAAATAACAACAGCGACAAGAAGGTCTGAGGTCGATAATGCACCGGCTATGAAACTTGTCAAGAACTCATTTCATCGCAAAACTTAACATTTCGTCTAGGTACCGGGCCACTGTCGGCAGTAAATTTAGGCCTCCCTGATATAACTTTTCTTACCTTTCACAACAAAACTGTGATTTCCAAGTGGAAAAGCGGATGAACAAAGACGTGAAACGTTGTTGAAAGCTTATTTTACCTCACATATTAGAGATTCCGATGATTCACCGTCTGAAGGTAGTTAGCCATGACCTACATGACCCGGTTCGTTTTGAGATAAAGCAACAGCGTTTCGCGTGAGAGGTTGGGACGAGACGGACTAAGTCCCAAACATGCCCGTTTATCACCGTACGCATAGTTTATCCTTCGCTTACCTTCCACGAGCAGGTGACCAAGGAAGAGACCACTGGAGACTAAAAAATTGAAGTCCACACAACTATTCTGTACTTTGCGATGTCGTATCCGATCAAATTTGCCTTTATCGAAAATTCTAGGAAAAATAGCATATTACACTACTACCATTGCCCTATTTAGAGTTACAACCCTGATAACTCTTCTAATTCTCCTCACTATCTGCGGAGCAACTTTCCATGATGCTAGTTTAGAGAATTTGCTAATAGATCAACTAATAATGGCCTAGGCCTTATTGATATTTCTCTTAATTCTCATCGCTTTTCTTCTTGGCATTGTGTTGATATTGTAAGGAGAAATTCAGACTTGGTCACTAATGGGAGTTAAATGGCTAAGACCTGATAATGTTGCCATCAAAAGAACATAATTTATGTAGTGGTACTTTATCAAGCGTTCTCAGTTTCGAGGGAGAATAAAAGTGGAGCAACGCAAGACACTGTGCTCTCGCGCTCCCCGGAAAGATAACCCTCAGTTGCAGGTTATTATATATATCTTATTAACCAAGCGCGAGGGCCGTACTGGGAGAATATCGGCCCGAGGTCTTGACAGTACGGATCGAGCGCAGCGAGGTCCGTACAAAAAAGACCGAGGGCCGATATTCTTCCAGTACGGTCCCGAGCAAGCTTGGTTAATAAGAGATTTATTATACGACTGAAGTTCAAAGGGACACAAGTGCGGTATCATTCGGGACCATTCGGGACAGTGCCCGGTCCAATACTTAGAGAATATTGGACCGGCAAAGGAGCATTTTGATTGGTTGATTTTAGTTATTGGCCCTCTGACTGCCCGAGTCGTGTAATAAAAGGACATAAAATTATGCTAGTTTATGCAAAAGTTGCCAATAGTTATGCACGAACAATACATCTAGGGACAATTCTGAGTTATATACTGAATAATAATATAGCATATAACGCAGGCTTACGTTCTAAAATATGATTTGTAATTCTCCCTTCTAGCTGCCTTTCATTTTCCTTAGAACTAGTTTAGACAATATAGTGTTTTACCAAGAAAACACTCTATAGCTGATTGGTTTGTCTCTCACCACCTGTTCGTTGGATGATGTATTGATATCGTATGAAGAATTCACAAATCGATCGCTTCTTGGTGTTTAAGTGTTAACCAGGTTTAATCTCGTAAACTCGTGCAAGTTTAGGAATGTTCAGAAAAAGTCAGCCCCGTAGTAAACTTATGATTTAAGAGACATTCTGATATCAGTCGAGGGAACTTTCCTGTTTGTTTCAGAATATTTTTCAAAATATTTCTTCATGTTTTTACAACGCACTGTCTTGTGCTCCGTCGTCGTCGGCTTCAGTTTGTTTGCTTTCCTTGTCATCGGGTGTTACCTCCGAATTAGTTGCTGTTGGTCCTTGAGGTATCACTTCCGGTACTGGAGCCGTGACTTCCGCTTTCGTTGGATTATCGGAGTCTCCCGCTAATGCTTCGTTAGTTATTCCAATTTCCGTTTCTTTTGGTTGAACTGGATCACGTGCACGTGCCTCCACCATCGGCTCATTAAAGCCATCGTCCTCCTTCCGCTCTCGACAGGTTATATAATAAATGGCAAAACCAATAAGAACAATAGCAATTCCTGCAAGGAGACAAAATCCTAGTACCTCCATTGCCCCGATAGTTTTTCCTTTCGCTGTCGGAGGTGCCCGAGTCGTACTGGTTTGTGTTGGAGGACCAGAGGAACCTGAACATAAACTATAATTACTCATCGAAAAAGGCTTTTAAATTTGTAGCTGATGAGAAGTTTTTTTATGATTATGAACGCTCACGTGGGGTCATGGAGTACTAAAATAAAAAAGAAGTTGAATTTAGGACATATTGGGTCAAACGAATGGTTTGTAAATTCAGGATGTTACAACACTAACTCGAGATTAACGTCGAATTTCTATAAGTTTCAGTGTGCGCTTTGTAGCCTAGATATTGCGATAACTAAACGATAGTGACACAAAAACGGATGGCAATATAGAAGCGTAAAGAAAAAAACGTTTTCGACACAATTTTATAGAATATTGAATCCCTACTTTTCTTATAAAATAAGTAAACATGTTTTTTAACACATTTTCACACACGTACCTGTCACTTGGACAGTTGATTTTCCGGTGGGAGAAGCAGACGAAGGTGTAGGTGACGCTGAGGGTGAAGTTGGAGAGGATGATGAAGAAGAAGATGCAGCAGGCGTAGGGACCTTTGATGAAGAGGAGACTGGGGAAGACCTTACTGACGCTGTAGGCCTAGAAGATGATACATTGGGGTAATTGGATGACGCAGGTGATGCTGAGGGTAAAGTTTGAGAGGTACTGGGCACGCGGGCAGTCGACAAGGAAGGCGACACTGAGGAAGATATTACTGACAATGATGCTGTACTTGTATTAGATGATGTCGAGTGAGTTATTGTCGAATTCACTGTTTGCAAAAGAAGAATAAAGTATGAAAATAAAAATATTGATAAAATGTAGGAGACTAAGGAAGACGATAATGACGATGAAGCCGCACATCTAGCACATGATGACTGGGGAGTCTAAATGACAGAAGCGAAACTGCCAATGACGAACCAGGTGTAACAAACGTAGTGAATGTAGGGACCGCACCTGTTGTTGTTGCGGCATTTACTATTTGAAAATAAAAATGTGAAATAATAAAATATAAAGACGGAAAATGTTTAAAAGATCCACCCCTGATCGACTTCCTCGAAAATATTTGTAGACGTAAATTATTCCGATATTTTCTGATGTATTTATTGACTCGTCTGACAGGCTGGCTGATGGGGAGAAAGAGAAATTAGTCGAATTGTAAACAGCCTGTGAGCGGATCCAGCGTCACCAGTACTTTGCCTGCGGGAAGTATGAGGCCTCGAACAAAGTGAGGAGGCGAGGGGTTTGCAAAGGGGTTAGTGCCATATTCCTTGCAGACCTTTCGCCGGTTCGCGTCGTTCAAGGTCTTAAACTTACTCGCAGGCGAAGAAACGCTCGTCCCACAGCGCTAATATTATTTTTCATTTATTCATTTATCATTTGCATTTATTACGTTTTAAATGGGAAACAATGCTGATTTACATGGATAATACCGGTCGAGTAAGGGATGTTATGTTTTAAAATTGATAAAATGTCATATTTGATCTAAGAGCGCGTGCTCAAGTTCCTGTTAAGACCCTTGAGGGATCGGAAGCTAAGAGCTGCTTGTCAGCCTAGCTTGGCGGTGTTTGGTCCGTGCGAAATTGTTTTTCAGTCCAGCTCTAAAAGTTCTGCTTCGATCAATGTGCTCGCGTTTCATTCCTGAGGTCGATATGCCACAATTTATAAAACTTAATGTCATAAACAAAGTAGCGAAATGAACAAATGATCAAAGTTCTAAGGGTGTCGATGACACACCGATACCCCACCTAAACTTTCTTCAAGTACCCTCCCTCTTCCCCTCCCCCCAACAGGAATTATCTATTATGGATCTTACCCATACTGACCTTTAAAAAAATATCAAATTGACAAGGTGATTCTCTTTTTCCTTAAAGGCACTATACAGAATGTACGTCTAGAGAAGTTAAATGGCTAATTCCGTAGTAGTTTCCTGTCTTTATTGATTGGTTTTGTGGGAAGGACAGGGTATTTGAACTTTCTTATCCCTTGACGTTATAATTCAAGGGACGCTTTACATAAAGTGATTGCGTGACCACAATTTTTTATTGGCAGCCGACGACAGTTTCACCACTGCCACGAAAATGAAAATGCCTCTATTGTCTTGACTTCAATGTATCATTAAAACTACACTGCGAACATTTCTCATTTCAGCATTACATTTTAAAATAAAAATAAATCCTCGAATTCGACTCATCCATCATCAGGAGCACTTTCCTGTCCATTGATCAAACAAGACTAGCAATATGAAAGACGGTTGTGATAATTTTCCTCAATCTCGCTCATCGCATCTCATTTGGTTCGTGAGGTTACTGAAAGAAATCAGGTTTTAATTTTCGCAGTCATCACGGGCTGCGATCCTTTTACTGCATCTCGTTAATCAGTATCTCATCGAAGCGTTTTGGAAAAAAGGCGGTTATCGTTTGTAGTAGTGTCGCAAAGGTCGCGATATCAGGTCTGAATTTTCGTGGCCAGTTACAGAGATAAGCACACAAAGCAAGCTGGCTGTTCGAATCCAAAGGCGTGCGCGTAAACAAAATGCCAAGGAAACGTTTCCAATGCCTCTTGATAGCCGAAAATTGCCCATAATGGCATAAAATTGTATCGAAGACAATAAAGCATTGTGCTCAAGATCAAAATGATGAAAACAAACAAACAAAGTCATAAAGGAAATCAAAACATTCCTCGGTCCTGAATTCTTAACGCCGACCCGCATGCTATTGGTCGATTGAGGGTATCTAAGGAAAGGAGAAGGCAAATTTTCTGCGATTAACAACATTAAGGGCGAATACAAAGGGAATTACACAGCCATTTTTTTCAAAAGGAACACTAAAAAACTTGATTCGAAACTTAAGGAAAACTGAGGTTCGCCGAAATTGAGATGAGATGACGTTGTTGTCAAAGCTATCTTCCTTCGCAACATATTTGTGTCGCACTCATCAAATGAGCTTGATTTTAAAGCACTGATGAAGACACTTACCCGAACTGGATCCAGATACAATCTCCACAGCAAAATAAAGTGAAAGAAGCACAGACAGCCATTTGGGAACCATTGTGTATTTTCAGGCGTAGCAGCAAGCCGCATAAAAGCTTTCTCTGATAAGCGGTTGATATGACGTATCTAAGGAATGAAATGTGATATTTACTTTGACGAAATATCCGATTAAAGAGCAGAAAAACATACTGAAGAGCGGAAGCTGACTAAGAAGGCGACTTTAGTGCTTATGCTCTTTGGACTAGAGAAGGTTCCAGTGAGTGAAAAACAAATAATCTGATATCGCACAAACTTAAAACGATGTTTCTCCTAAAAGAGAGAGTAAAAAGTGAAGTCTGTGTACCTGTGGAAGGGGCGAAGCGGGGTGATAGGGGTTTCTAAGGGTGTGCTGAGAAGGCTTTCAAACCGTGACTGATCCACTTAGACAAATTCCATTTGTTTTCCTACCCTTTGTAAGTCATAAAAGTGGGTAAACTGTGACAGATCGACTCTATGCAGCCTTTTTTCACAAACTTAGGCTGGAAATTTCTGGCTATATTTTTACAGACACAATTATTGCGATTAAAACCCTTCAAGTCCCCAAAGACACCCCAGTAAGGACGCGAAGTCGTGAAATTACATACCGTGTTTATTCTGGTCCTGAAAACTGACGACACACAATATTAATCAACATGTTACGGTTTATTTGTTCACATGTAACTTGTGATATTTTGTTTCACATATGAAAACAAGACATCCCACTATGGTTTTGAAACATTACCGAATTTTTCCGATTCAATTTCACTGTTTCCAAAAGGAAAACAAGAGAAAATAATGGGGCCTAACTTTCTCTTAGTTTCCTTATATGCAAATTCTTTAAAAATCAGCATTTTTTTAAAAAAAAGTACCTTCACTGCAAAAGCGAAGTTTGATGAAATCTGACCAAAGCCAGTAATTGAGGTTTTCCCCGAGCCTGCTGTTTCGATTCCACGACAGGTTTGCAATCTTTGGAATTGGCATGGACAGAAGGTAACCATCGGTTCGTTTGAGACAAAGACCGCTTTCCCATTGGAGGCAAAAAACCGCATTTGACTTTCAAATTCGACCATATTTGAATGGTTGCTAACGCAACTCATGATAGAACGAGCCGCTGCAAAAACAAATCGAAATAATATTTGCCGTGCTTTCAACACGAACAAGACTTTGCCGTTTGTTTTTCTACATATAGATCAACATGTCTGATATAGGATCGGAAGAGTTCGAAGAAGATGAAGGCATTAATCTTGGGGTAAGTAAAAACCCGTTTAAACAGCAATTTTCTCGGGTAATACACGAAAATTGAATCACAGACCAAAGCCGTCACTATTTGCCTAAAATTTGCCCTGTCCTTTATCAGTCTTCTTTCTCTCTTTTCGTTCTTAAATCTTTGAAATTTCTCATTATGTTGCAACTGATAAACTTTAATCGACGCAAACCTTGCGAATGTCAAATTTCGAGTCTCTGAAATTTTCATTTTGATTTTATCTTACCGGAATGACAGCTTCAATCGCTTAATTGTAAGTATTTGACAGCTTATAGTTTTCATTGTTGACTGACAATCCAAGCTAAGAAAGTGTCATTCAGTTCTCAGAAACTGTCAGTCTCTCTTATGATCAAAGGAAGAAAACTTTGACAAAATACTGTTTTGCACCCGAGTTATCCATTCCTCAGTCACTGACTTGATATACAAAATATCTCCAGGCAGGGAACGGCGATTTTGTGCATACATAATTGACTTCAGTAATTGGCCTCAATAAAAGTCAACACACCACAGCAATGTTGATAAGCAAATACAGTCACCTACTAAACTCCCTAAAAAGCTTTGTCCTTCTTTTCGGGAGTCTGTACCTACAACCGCTACGAGCTTCAACTTGTTGGTTGAGACGCTCACACTATAAGCCCTTCAAATTACACTGCTATGCTTTCACTCGCTTTCTTGTTTGAGCGATCGGTATACAAGAGATTTTCAAGATTTTAAGATAATTTTTGTAAAGTGAATTTTTCTTTTTGCTCTTACAGGTATATAATATAATTTTGTTTAATCCATTTAAAACTGGCGATTGACCGAGCATTTCAGAAGAAACTGTGTAAGATCTTTCTCTTGCAATGACTAAAACGATAATCAACGGATAGTGTGCGGAGCTGAGCATGAATTTATGACAGGATACATATTAGCCGAACATGAATTTAGCAAATCAAGTTTACCACAAAATATTTGTGAAGTGACTTGGTTTTACACATGGTTGCCAATTACAATTTTTAATTTTTGAAGTTTGACTCTCGAGGGTACAATGACAATGGTGCCTAGTTGACATGTTACGTAATTTTACGGTTTTTTACTGAGCGGAACAACATCAGGAAAGGCCTTCGCTAATGTGATGAACTTGGAACTCATGTTGTGGGACCCCACGGCTAAGATATCCGGCTTCCCGAATGAGTCTTCCTCTCGCTGTGTGGAGGATATTTCATGATGAGTTATACGACATCAGCTTCCCAGACTACCCATCCCTTCCCTTCCCTTGGGGCTTCTAACTTTGCACGCGACATGCAGCTTAAAAGCCATTCGACAAATCTGATCATTTCGTTTTATTTTCTAAATTCATCCCTTTTAGGAGTAGGATGGTGATCGAAACGAGAAGGAAGAACGCCATGGCTACGGTAAAGCCACGCTACCAAGCGGAGATACTTATGAGGGACAGTACGAACACGGAAAAAGACACGGCAATGGCACGTATCGCTTCAAGAATGGCGCCAAATATGTTGGCGAATATGTCAAAGGCAAAAAACACGGCCAAGGGACGTTTTGGTACCCAGACGGCTCGCGGTACGAGGGTGGCTTTGTGGAAGATCGCAGAAATGGCCATGGGATTTACTACTACGTAAATGGGGACACTTACGAGGGTGACTGGTACGAGCATCAGAGGCACGGACAGGGCGTTTACACGTACTCAGCGACTGGGACCAAGTACAAAGGATCTTGGGTGCATGGCAAGCGCGACGGCACGGGAGAACTTGTTCACTCCAATCACAGATACATGGGTAATTTCTTGGATGATAACCTCCAGGGCGTGGGCAAATATCGCTTTGATATCGGCTGTGAGCAACACGGGGAATACGTTTTGGAGGAAAAGATCCAGGAAGGAGATACCGAAGAAGATGAACAACTGACCGTGTTGACTGCCAAGTGGAAATGTTCAGGTGTCACTGAAATTGAGCCGGCCATCATTGGATAGATTTGTCGCACTTGAAATGTTGACTGTCTGGGACTTTTTGTAGATATTTTGTACGAACTCCTCTTGTTTACATCAGTTGTTGGATCTATTTTATTTATTAACAACAAATCTTCTTGAGGGTGAATAAAACTGCCTTACTGACAAAAGCTAAGCTCTCTTGGACGTGACTATAATTACAAATACCATCATCATCCTTTGACATCTTCCTTTGTCTGGTGCCGAAACCAAACCATGGTTCTGGGGGCGCAAGACGAATTATTATCGTATTGCGGTTTATCTCATTATCATCATCATTATTATTATTAAAGTTATCTTTCTGTATTCTCCCAAGCAGCTACTCTTCAACCCCGTCACTAAACTACCCCTTTCTTAATCTGCGCAAAACAAAAAGAAGTCAAGCTTTGGTTAAAACAGCTTTTGGTGGAATTACTCGGAGTATGCTGCGTAGTGATATGAATTGTTCTTAAACCCGATTTTGTTATCAATCACTCCCTTTTCCACACCCAGAAGCCCGTTTCTCGAGAGTTTAGGTAATTAAAAGCCCCGGAAAGATGTTTTTTCTTTGCCGTTCATTACAGATAACCCGCAATGAATTGTTTTGGAATGAATACGATAAAAATATTCGGAAATTGAAGCCGGAAGGGAGCGGTTTTGGATCAGAGAACCGCACCAGTTTTCCAAACATTCAGATTTCTAAATATGACTTTCGGCCAAGAGATTATAAACTGTTTATAATCTGTTGCTTTCAGCCCATAAAGTTTCCACAAACAGGCCACAGATCAATTTTTCCCTCTAATTTGTCCAACGAGAAGTGACCAGTAATTGGAAAGTTATTCTCTTTGCGGTTTAATCCATTAAGTCAGGCGCGTTCATCTATTCAAACTTCATACAAACCACTTCCTGAATGACTATGGTAACTGGTGACATGAGAAGAATTGTCGAGCCTAGCGGCCTAGCCTATTCGGCTGGTGACGACCCCATTTCAAAAAGGAAGGACTATTCATTGCAGGGGCGTAACCAGGATTTTTAAAAGAGGGGGGGGGGTTACAGAGGCTACTCACCAGATTGTCATGTCGACCTCCCCGCCGTGCATGTTTTACTTCATGTTATAGTTTTGGGATGAGCAGTGAG